TAGTGGAGCCACACAGGAGATGGATGATAGTTCCATGAAGGTTCTTCATGAAGACCCAAGGATCTTCTTACTGAGGAAATCCTGTTTTGGGGGGAAAAAATGAGCATCCCAACTTTCCAAACAGTAACATAGATTTGACAGATTACCTGAATTTTGTGGCTATATTCTGGTGATTTCAGTAGATGCCTGCAATGTTTTAAGTCAGCTATTTCAGCAGGAGACTCCAGGAAGATGCAGCAGCTAGGTATCCTTTCAGCATCCTGAGTATTCATGTTGTTGCTTAACATTAGCTTCTGTCTGACTGATAGAAATTAAAAATCTGTATCCTCTGACTGCTGTATCCTCTGGCCTTGGAGCATCAACCTGTTTTGAATAGACAATTCTGTCTTTCCCACAGCTTTCATATTTTACATTAGGAAGATGGCCATGAGAGGAGCTGGAAGTTTTCTTCCAAATCTCTTTAGGAATATATATTAAAGAAAATACTTGCCCTTGCAAGTCTTTCCTGAGAAAAATGCTAGTTTCAGTGCTGGCTGCTTAATAAATGCTACCCAACTGTCTTTCTGTTTGCCTTTTGAAATGAGAACCTCCACTTGCAATCCTTTAGTGAAAGGCATTGGAGTCATCTCAAGACTGCACTTTTGCAAAAAGGCTGCAAACACTTAAGTGAAATGAATAATTAAATATTTTAGCAAGCATGTTCTTGTTTACCATCATAGCTTAGCTCTGGGAAAGGTGAGGAATGTATTATAAACATCCCTGAGGGCCAACTTCACAGATTAATCATCTGTCTGTTTTATCCACAACTGAAGGAACTGAAAAGAAAATCTCATTGTCCAATGTATAAATATCCTGTACATGGGTTTGCTTGTTTATTTAAACCAGGTTAGGGTTTGTAAATATAATGTCTGAATTTCCTAATTCTTCTGAATGGTCAAATGCAAAAGCAAAGAACATAATTTTGTACACGAAGACACGGGAAGACAAGCAAGTTACTGTTGGATGGGATCTCACTGGAGAAACAGAAACCAATACTGGCATGTACGGAACTGAAAATAGTGAAATCAGGAAAGTGAGATCTCCCTTAATGTTCTAATTAGTCATATAGTATACTTTATATGAATAGTTGCAATCTGCAAGTATCTTCCATATAAAGAGACATGTAAGTAATCAAGTATATGTCTAGAAGTTATTACCATGGGTCCTGGCATTATCGTACGCTTCTCTTTCTTTGAGTGATTGAAATCTCCAGGGGTAGTACTGGGTGACTTAGTTTCTTCCCAAACAGGAGGAGAATATATAGTAACAGGGGAGGTTCTTGTAGATCAGGGTTCCTCAACCTTGGCAACTTGAAGATGTGTGGACTTGCTGGCTGGGGAATTCTGGGAGTTGAAGTCCACACATCTTCAAGTCACCAGGGTTGAGGAACCCTTTGTAGATCATCACTAACCTACTCCAGTTTAGTCCAGAAATTCAGAAACAAATAGCTGTTTCCTGATAGAAATCTTCAGTGAGAAAGAATTTATAATACTACATAGCTGGCTTTTTTGTCAAACCGCTTTTACCATCAATAAGTTTTCTCTCACTTTCAGCTAAAACTGATCATCCTATAATCAAATCACTCAAATACTTTTTCTGGGGTGACAGAGAATTCAGTCTTTGCTTTCTTTATCTGGCAGCTCTTTAGGCATTTGAAGGACTTTATCATATTTCTCTTCCCTCTCTCTCATTATACTTACTTACTTACTTATTTATTTATTTATTAAATTTGGAAGGTTGCCTGACTCTCAAATGATTCTCGGCAGCTTATGCAATTAAAAGAAAGAAAACAAACAAAAAGGAAAACAACATATGCCTTTGAAGTAAATACACATTCCCTTACCAAAAATCCACCAGGGGTTCAACAAACAACCAAATCCCACCCATGTGCTTAAAGACCTATGGAACTTTTATAGGGTGGGAGCCATACAAATCTCTGGGGGATGCTGTTCCAGAAGGCAGGTGCTTTGACAAAGATGGCATGCTTCTTGGGGCACTACCAGGTAACATTTTTTAATAAAAGGGACCTGTAGTGTCCCCACTCTGCCTGATTTCATTAAACAGGCAGAAACCACTGGAGGCAGGTGGTCCCTGAGACTCTATGCCATGAAAGTCTTTATAGGTGACAACCAGCACCTTGAACTGCACCTGGAAGCAAATTGGCAACCAGTGCAGTTCTTGGAGCACTGATGACGTGGGTGTATCAAGGTGCACCCATCACTGCCTGCACTGCTGCATTTTGTACCAGCTGTAGCTTCCAAGTGGTCTTCAAGGGCAACCCCATATATAGTACATTTCAATAGTCCAATTGTAGGTGACTATGGTATGAGTTACTGTCTGGATATCTATCTGGTGTCTATCTTGTTGGATTAGAAGACCTCCAAGATCCCTTCCAACCTTATCATTCTATGGCATGTTCGCTTAACTTAGAATTGCAAAGTGAAAACAAGGTTTTGACATTTGCTTACTCTATAATGTGTCTCCCCTGTACCTACCCACAATGAATCCAGGCAGGTGTGCTTATATTAATTACATTGATTCCAGCTCATTAAAATGATAAAAGAGAAACAGAGAAAAGGGGGAAAACAGATAAGCTAAAGTAGGAAGATAGTAAAATCCTTATTAAACACAAGATGGCCAGGAGAATGAGGACGTCATTAACTTCCAAGAAGAGGTATTGATAGATAGGACAAAAGAAACAAAGACATGAAGCAATATCCAGGGTGCTAGAAAATAGCAGTTCCAGCTGTTTTATCTTTCTGGAATCGTCATGAAGAAATTTCATGTTGATGGCCAGTGAAGAGTGCCTGCTCAATAGCTGTGGCAAAAAGTTACATGCCATCTAGATTTATTTAAGTGTCAGGCTAGGTAAAAATTGATTTGGACAGTCAAACTGATGATGATGTGGTTGAATATCTAAATTGACTTTCTGAATTGACTTTCTGAATTAAATTGAAATGTCAAACTGAAACATCAAATTGGATGCTCTTGATTCTTTTCTTATCCTTTTGATGCTACTACATAAAATTGAACATGTTTTTTTCCCCCAAATCAGTCAGGAAATTTGAAACAAATCAATACAGTTTAGTTTGAATACTTGGACCGGATTAATTTTCTGAATTGATTCAAATTTTCTGAATCAAATTATTGGTTCAAATCAATTTTGCCTGATAGCTCAGGCCTACTAGCACACTTAGTTATTGTTTTTATTTTGTTCAATCTCAGAATGTTCAAGTGAAAAAAAAAAAGCTAAATCTATTATTAGATAATATCTATGTATTTATATTCATATATACTAAAACTGTAATCTGCTGCATATTTTCTTGGGAGTGAGCCCAGCTGAAGTCATTGGGATTTACATACTTAATACTTCTGAATAAATATAAATAGGACTCTTGGTTGCTTGCTTTATACTTTCATTCTCTGATGAACCAGATTTAAACATTATTACCTGTTTCATTTATAAAAACATGCACAACTCTCTGTGAACTGGAAAGTGCTATTCTAACTGTCATAAAACTCAGAATGCTCTTAGAAAGATGTTTCACTTATGCAATGGATGTCTCATGATTTATTGATTTAAACTATTGGAATGAACACAACTGATCTATCATCTATATTGCCCCCTGTGCTTAAAAATATACATTTCCAAATAAAGACTTACCTATTGTGAAGCGAACAACAGGTAGTGTTGGTCTGCCACTAACACAGGTCTTACACTGAAAACAGAAAATTCTTTGCAAAGCTTCTATTAGATTTGAGTGAATGTAAGTTTGAATGTCAATTTACTGAACCTTTTATATCTTGGATATACACTCCAACTCCTAACTTTTAGAAGTGATGTTTGTACAATGCTTGTCATGCGATAAAAAGAGGAAACAAAAGACTTAAAAAAATTACTAGTTGAGAAGAAATAAAGCAGCTAATACCTCTACCAGATAGCTTAGAATTTGCTAGTGGAAAAGTACAGGTAATATTTTAGAGTGTAAATGAGACACTACTAGAAGAAAAAGCGTGTACCCAAAATAGAAAAGATAACCAGGTCTACAAGATAAACATAATATAATGCCATTTTCCCCCATAGTTTTGGAATGAATGCTTAGAAATCACCAAGAAGAGATCATCTTTTTGTCCCCAATCCTCTTTTTGATGATTTTCTTGAGCAGATATTCTTTAATGTCTTGAAGTACAATATTGGGCTCAGAAAGAGATGTGGCAGATCACTCAGAAAGAGATGTGGCAGATGTTTCTTCCAGATTTATTGGACTGCAACTTCAGTCATGGTTTTGTAAGGAACAAACTCAGACTAGTAAAATGGCTGTGCTGAATTTGGAAGATATATTTAGGCTTGCATGTTATAGAAATGGTAAACGTATGAATGACACATTATAGCATGACCTTAGGAAATTCTGTCTATCTTTTTGCAGGTTGGAAAATGTTATGGAGGAGGGGTGGGGGGAAGGGAACTTAGATTCCAATAAAGAGTAATTAAAATAATGCCATATCCTGTGATCCATTAAGAGGCATCCATTTCCACTTGCATAGCTTCTGAGAAACCTTGATTACTTATCTTTAGGTAATCAATGTAGCATTTGGCCTAGACATTGCACATTAGCACAATATTGTCATCAATCAATCTTAATGAAAAAGGAAAACTGAATTGGAGATATGTAAAGAAAGGAAAGGGTATAAAAGTTTTGAAGTGGCAAAGGGGAAGCAAAGTAGGCACAATTGGACACAATAAGTTTCATCTGAGCTAGGGCCCTAAGGTTTTAGAGACTTCCTGATGTACCAATGCAAGTTCAATCTGCTAATTCCACAGTCAAAGGAATTGCCTTGAAATGACTGCGAAAAATTGCTTGCTTCTACCTGAAGATCCGGTAACTCCCTTTGTTGCAGTGACTCATTGGTAATTATCTTTTTATTGTGATTGTAGCCTAGTGGACAAATAAATTACATTGAATTATAGCCTTATGACAATGCATGGTAGTTAGTCTTGTGAGTCCATGTATTGCATAAATAATACTACTGAGTTATACTTGACTCCTGTCATGACATGGCTTCTTGCTTAAATATGCAGTCTACTGGACCATGGTAAGTCATTGCCTTGACCCAGTGACAATTCTTTCAGGTCCCAAATATTTGAAGAAACACTAACCTTCCTATTTGCCCATCTATTCAAATCCTTAGAAATGCCCTTATACTTTACAAAGAAAGGTTCTTTGTGGTGGCAGCCCAAACTTGGAATTTCGTATCAGGAAGTATGCCTGTCACAAATACTGAATTATTTTTGGCAATAGATAAAAGGCTTTTTATTGCACGGACATTTAAATCTAATAACTACTTTTAAGTTTTTTTATATTTTTATTTTGGATGTAGTTTTAAAGTTGTTTCATTTTATGGCTTTGTGTTTAAGTTCAAATTATTTTATGTTATTAGGTTTTTATTTTTTAATACACTGCTATAGGATCTTTTTGTAGAGGGTAAAGTACAATATATACATTTATTATAGTTTATTCAATTATTGTGGTATTTTTTGTGGTACTACATTTTCTTCCATTTTATGCAAGCCCAACATGTTCAGCATCTCATTAGCTCAGAAAATGGGTTCTGTTATCCAGACGTGCTCTGGTCCAAATCTTGTATCGTACCCAAGTGGGAATCTGTGCTAAGAAGGACTCACTAGAGCCAGTGCAGAGCAAAATTTTGAGGTCCATGCTTGGTGTCCATATGGAGGGTAGGCAAAGCCCTACTCAGATTAGAATGAGCATGTCTAAAACTGAAGTGTAGGCTTAGCAGTTGATGATTAGCTATTGACTGAAGATCCATTTTTCCCTGACAGGTTTATTGCCTTTAGTTTTTGCAAAGAATTATTCTTCAAGTTGGTAAGGCACAGTAGAACAGAAACTAGCATCATATGGGGTACCAGCAGCATTTCTAATAATTTTGGGATATGAAGATACCAAACAAACATTCTCTCAGATTAAATGATACGGAGCATCAGATCAAAGTCAACAGATTATCGTAAAACAATAGAACCTGGGTAGATGGGAACCTGAAAAATATTTAAACGCTCCTAACTTTCCTAGGTTGAGGAAAACTTTTTCAAGGTTAGGCCCTTTGCATTTTTGCAGGACAGGCATTCCGAAACTTCACTAGCTAAGTGTACCTGCCCATGTGAACCTGGAGAGAGAGAAGCTGTTCTCATGTGCTACTATAGTGTAACTTCTATAGGGATGTTGAGAATAGTTACATCTTACCCCTGCTGCATCAATACCCAGGAAGAGTGGATAATTACTATGTGAACCTCCTGCTTTCAAATATGAGATTATCTGTTACCTGTACACTAACAAAATGTTGTGTTGTGGCAGTGAAAATGAGGCAACAGCTGGTGGAAGTCTAAGCACTGTTGTTTACTTTTTAAATTATTGCTTCAATGCAATTTCCTGACAATTGTTCAAAATTAATTGAATCCAGATAAGTATGTTGTATAAACATAGCCAGAGAACTGTAGCAGAGATGGGTTCTACAGCATCATTACCCTAAGCCTCGCTTTAATGTGAGGATCAAATGAGGAGAGGTAGAAAATGTATCCTGTCTCTCAGTTCTTTCAACTGTAAAATATGTGATTGCCTCAAATAGTTTCAAGTTCGTTACCATGTAACAAAGTCAAAGACAACTCTACATAAAGAAGACTGAGGTATCAACTGACACAGTCAACTAAGGCATTGTGTCTATTTGATAAGATTTATTTATTTAACTTATGGTATACCAAAGCTCTTTACATTGTATTTTATCTTTGCTTTGAAGCCAGTTAAATAATCAAGTATCTATATTTAGCATACAATACTTATTATCTTCAACCATTATTTTATAACAAACAGAACAATAAAAATTGGATCCTAGAATTCTTTTCTTTAACAGAACCCCAAATACTATGACTATTAAATGTGTCCAGCCTTTGTTAGGTTTTTCAGCCCATAGACCCATCCATTACAGATTTTAATAGTTTTAGTGTATAAAAATGTAGATTTTCATCAGCCTGTTAATGTCCTCTTAAATGCCACTTTAGCTATGTAAGCACACTATGTTGGCACTTGAAAAAGGCTCACTGTAATGCCAAGAATAAGTCACCCCAAGCATTAATGATTTAATCTGAATATATGAAAAGATCTTTTAAGGCAAGTTTTGCAGAGAAAGTTTTCAAGTAATCCATTCACTCACCAGTTCCATGTTTAGCAGCACATACATGCTTGTGTATAAGCAAACCTATTAAAATATTAACCAATGGTTGGTTAAGGTCCAGAAGGAGAAGTCCTTTTATTATGGAAAGTTTTCTGAGTTTTCTGTTCTCAGGTGGAGGAGAGAAGAAGAAAAAGAGAAATATTTTGTTCTTGTAGGAAATAAGCAAGAGGGGTAGGGCCCATTTCCCATTTGTACCTTATCACTTGCATACTTTGGTAACATCTCTTCTATGTCCCCAAGACCTTGTCTTCCTGTCATCTCCAGCCCATGAGTGAGACAGGCTTCACTGTAATATTTCCCACTTGTTGTCCCAGGGCAGTCTCAAGGTGTCTAAAATATGTCAAGCTTGGTTTTTTGTTTTGTTTTTTAGTTTTTGGTTTTGGTGCCTTCAAGTCAGTGTTGACTCCTAGTGACTGTCTGGACAAGTCCCTGAAGTTTTCTTGGCAGAATTTCAGAAGTGGTTTGCCACTGCCTCCTTCCTTGGGCTAAGAGAGAATGACTGGCCCAAGGTCACTAGATGGATGTGTGCCTAAGATGGGACTAGAATTCATGGTCTTTCGGTTTCTAGTCTGGTGCCTTAACCGCTACACCAGACTGGCTCTCAAGCTTGTTATTCGTTATCTTAAATAGAAGTGAGGTGACTGCCATAACTGGAAACAGACAAGAGAGATAGGATAGGGAACAACAAGAAGGGTAGCCAATTCATGCTAGTATATCTTTCTGGTAAATCAGGCAGTGAGGAAAGGAAAAAAAGAGAGGAATAAAAAAACAGGTTGTTTTGTTGTTATTTCTACTCCTAATGCTACTAGTAGTTAACATGATAAAAGGTGCAAAGATGGTTCTGGAGCTTGTCTTCAACGTATTTAGTGTATAGGACAACAGCTAATAGAGAACAAGATTCTTTCACCCCTATAAGTGCTAAATTATTTGTCCGTGGTTCATATCTTAAAAAGAGGGAAAATAAAATAATAATAACAATAAAACAAGAGATTGTTTCTTTCCTCAGATATTAAAATAATTGGCTGATGAAAGTATTTAAATGAGGGAGTCTGCTTGTTTCTAGAATGCTTGCATTATTGTTTTTTAGGGAAATGGACTGGTGTTTTCAGTCATCAGTCAGATTTCCTCATTTTTGAAGTGCTAACTTGCTTATATGACATTTATTTCCTTTTGTTGTAAACCTACTTTTTACTGATACAGTATTTTGTTGTATGTGAAAAAGGCCTGGGGCTAAATTTCAGAGGGCCCCAACATTCTGTGGAGTTCTCCATCCTAGCATTTCTCTGAAAACGTCTCTCCCCTCTTTCCTCTGTATTTCTAGTGAATGCAAAATCAGGCTCACTGAAGAAGGGTTGTAGTGGGTGCAAGTCCTTCTGCCACTGGAACCACCTACTAGGCCCTGAAGTCATGGTGGGTGTCTGAGAGCTGAAAAAGGAGCAAAGGGCAACAGTAGCATCAGCAGTGTACTGGAGCACAGGAAATGGCTTTATATTAAGTTAGACCACTGATCC